GGAAGGGGAAGGAAGGAAGAGGGTTGAAAAATCAAATAAAGTTAGTCCCAGTCCAGGGAGCAGATAGGGAGATTTGTCTCATTACCCTGCTCTCCTACCTGGGACCAAGAGGAATGGAGCAGCCTGCTCCCCCATGCCTTCTGCAGACTGAACCCTGGTCTGGGGAAGGCACCAGGAGCAAGGGAGAAGGGGCAGCTTCAGAATGAATGCCTGTACTGTTCCCTCTTCTGGAACAACTTATAGTGGGGGAAATTTCTCAAAACTTTCCCCTGCTAGAAATAAATACCTGTTGGTGGCCACAGCAGCAAAAAAGCATACCATGTCCATGGGTCTTTTATCCATGTGTGGAATTTGAGCTCGCTGCAAAGGAAGAAGACTTGTGCTATCCTAGAATATTTTTGGCAATGAAAAAGTGTTCTCAGTGTAACTAAGGTGCATTGTAAACCCAGAATTTAATTTATTTTTTAAAGGTACAAGTAAAAAAAAGGAGATCTGCTGGAAGGAAAAATGAACAAACATTCACTGCAGAGAAGCAATAAGTCTTTTAAAATGTACAGGTATGAAAAAAGTTTAGTTTTTCAGATGTGGTGGTTACCCATAAATTTTTCTTCCCATTCTTCTTGGTAATGAAGGAATAAATAATATGTTGAAAATATTTTCATTACTAGTTGCTCAGCACTATGTGCATATGTTAAAAGTGCAGGTCACATCAGTGTTGGTTATTTTCTAAAAGCTCACCTGTGGAAGACTGCCTCAATAGGCAAATTTTCTTGACACAAAGGCTTCATTAACCTCTGCCTAAGAGTCTTCTTCTCTTTCAGTACTGCTTCCAGGTGTCTGTTCATATCTTGCAAAATTTCATATTTCTGGTCTACACAAAGAGGAATGATTATTTGAGATGGAATGTCTAAGGCAGTGAGCTCTTAACCTTTTTAGATTCAAGGCACCCCTTAGAATATGCCAGCTCTCAGCTTTCACTCATTTTGGACTGCAGACACAAGATAAGGCAATTCTTTTCTTGCAAAGAACTTGGAAAGCCTGCAACAGGTAAAAATGTTTTTAACACTACGGATTCCTAGTTGAAATCTCCAGGTTTATCTTGTGAATCATGTGTAGCACCTAACTGAACTAATACTGCCTGGCACCATTAAAAGGATCTTGCAGAACCCTGAGTGAGAATCACTGTTCTAATGGAGCAAAAGCAAAAACTCATTCTATATAGCAGATGACTAGGACTTTTCAGCAGTCCTATACATTATTTAAGCCACAGGCTTATACTCTGGTTGAACAGCAATAACTAGATAGTCCCTGCTGGATGACTGAGTAGTTCCAGAATATGTCAGAAGGAGGCTCAAGGCATTTATTCCTTCAAGAAATCACTTTATGAACAAAGGCAGCTGCAAGGGGTTAGACAATTCTAGTTAAAATCTTTAAACCTGCATCTTACATTTTATGAGTGAGATCATTTGTATAGGGCTATGTGGTGCTGTGAAAAAGACTGATAATGACAAAGCAAAAGGGCAGAGAAACATGGAAGGAATTACTCCACGTGCTCTTCTTCAGCTTATTAAAATTAAGTCCCAACAATTCTTCTGAAGCATGTTATACATTAAGAACAAAGATACATCTGTTGAGTTATTGGGAGAGTAGCTGGATAATGTGTAACTTTGCTCTCTGGGGCCCAAGATATGCAAGAAAGCATCACAAAAGACACGTACAATACAGAGGGTACAAATTCCATGGCTGTGCTAGCATCTTGTACTGGCTGATTAAGCACCAAAACCTGCTCTCAGGAGAAATCCACAGATGCAACAGCAGCTGCAAAGTGGTAATGAGAAACAGGGGACTCAAGAGAAGTGAAACAAATTAGCTGACATTTGATCAAACAGCCTAATATTAACAGCTGTTCTATTAAACAAAGCAACTTACTCAGGAAGAATGGGTGAGCAATATCTGCTGTCTCCTTTTCCAATTGCAGGATTTCTATTTTCAGGTTTTTCTGCAATAGACATAAATAGCTACACTTGATTTTTATACAATTTAATGTATTACCTACACGTGTTACTTCCCCATCACCAGAGAACTGGAGTGCCTTTATATCTGAAATGATTAATGCTACATACTTTCATTCCTTTCATGCCTGTAGAAGAAATTATTTTTTAAATCAGCAGTTGGGACAGCTTTGCTGCACATATGCCAAGGAAGATTTTTGCACTTGGTCCTGAATGTGTTGCAGCATGTAGTCATTCACGTATTTCCTGAAAATAGGACCCATAGTCGAGGTCCAGATAAATGGTCTGCGTCTCAGAATTACAAGTCTCCTGCTACAGGCAAATACTTTTATGGTCTAGGTGCACTATGTCTGTTAAGAGAGAGGTGATTAGACCTCTTTAATTTGATTCTATTCAATGATGAACCAGTATAGAGAATGACTAATGTCTTTACATGACTTGAGTAGCTAGACAGATGCGCAGACTGCAACAGCCTCAGTAAGAACCTTTTCAGGCTTCTGTCCTGTGTATGAATTGGAAAAAAAAAGCCCATTTATGTTTGTGACTGCCTGGTTCATTACGATCATGACTATTTGGCATTTCATGGAAGCAAGGAGCTCTAAAATCAGATTAACCCCCTCCCCAATACACGAGCAGAGAAGAGATGAAATAGCTCTCTCTTCCCCAAGATGTTTCATCTTTGGAATTCTAGGTCATTCAAATATATAGTCATGTAAATACTTTAAAGCTTTTTAATATTAGAAGTGTTATGCTATATTTTAATATGAGCAAAAAAGTTAAAACTATATAAAACTGAAAAACTCTAGAAGCTGAAAATGAAGTGATGAGATCATTACAACTCTTATTTAGAAACAATAAGCTATAAATCTGGATGAATGGACTATAAGGTGGATAGAAAACTGGCAGGAGCATTGGGCTCAGACAGTAGTAAGCAACAGCTTGATGTTTAGTTGGCAGCCAGTATCAAGTGGCATGCCCCATGGGGCAGGTTTTGTTCAATGTTTTCATCAACGACCTGGAAGACAGCACAGAATGCACCCTCAGCAAGTGTGCGGATGACACCAAACTGGGGGGAGTAGTAGATATGCTGGCAGGTAGGGCTAGGATTCAGTGTGACCTAGACAAATTGGAGGATTGGGCCAAAAGATAATCTCATGAGGTTCAACAAGGACAAGTGCAAAGTCCTTCACTTAGGATGGAACAATCCCATGTACCAGTACAGGCTGGGGGCTGACTGGTTGGGCAGCAGTTCTGCAGAAAGGGACCTGGGGGGTTACAGTGGACAATAAGCTGAATATGAGCCAACATATGTGCCCTTGTTGCCAAGAAGGCTAATGGCACTGTCATAGAGCAACAAGCCCAAAAGGCTGGAGACACCTGCCAGGGAGCAGAATGGTGGTGGGAAAAGCCCAAAGACCCAGGGAGAAGGCACAGGAAAAGCCATTATCTGGGGAAACTTACCTGGCACAGACAAAGCAACTCTTGAGTTTTTTGTAGGCTGAGTGCAGCAGAGCAACCAGGCATCTACCAGTGTGCCCGCAGCTGCTGCACAAACCAACCATCTTAGCAGATACCTATTAAAGACCCAATCAGGGTGATGCTGCACGCTGGAACCCCGAAGAGCCAAGGTCACCAGCTGCACAGTGGAGAACACAAGGTTGGCGCGTGAAAGGGATATAGAGACCGTGGAGTCCCAAAGACGTCCATACAGAGCACCTCCAAGTGAGTCAGGTTAAAAAGGAAACCTATTGCATCTGTTCCTAAGAACAAGACGTGGCAGGTGAAACACAGAGCCTTCTCTTTGGAGACGGCGCCTTGGGGACATTAGCACCAGATAAAGACAAAGCTGGCACTAGGATCACCCAGCCCTGAGCCACTCGGGAGCAGCTACTTGAGCTTAGACAGGCATAGGCATACTGAGCTGCATTGGTGGGTGTCTTGCCAATAGGTCAAGAGAAGTAATTATTCCTCACTATTCAGCACTGGTGAGTCCACATCTGGAGTACTTGTGTTCAGTTTTGGGCCCCCAACTACAGAAAGGATGTGGACAAATTGGAGAGAGTCATGCAGAGGGCAACACAAATGGTTTGGGGATGGGGCACATGACTTATGAGAAGAGGCTGAGGAAACTGGGCTTATTTAGTTTAGAGAAGACTGAGAGGGGATTTAATAGCAGCCTTCAACTACCTGAAGTGGGGTTCAAATGAGGATGGAGCTAGACTGTTCTCAGTGGTGGCAGATGATAGAACAAGGAGCAACAGTCTCAGGTTGCAGCAAGGAGCCTGTGACCAGGGAACCAGCAAACAGGACTGCAAGCAGGAGAAGCAGTTTGCAGGCAGCTGCTGGAGGCAAGAGGAGGAAGGAGGAGAGAAGCCAGGTACCAGATCCTGCCCAGGAAAGATAAGTGATCCAGCTGCCTGTACCTTTGTTTTTTGCTGACTGTTTGTTTGGTGGGCTGTGTCTGGGGTGTGTGTTCTGAGAAGCTGGGAGTGACTGCTGACTGAGTGCTGAGGGATTGTTGACTGCTGTGGGATTGCTGCCTGGGCCTGACAGAAGCCCAAACAAAGGGGCTGCATCAGCCCAGGCCCAGAAGGGTATAAAAGCAGACTCCCCAGGTGACCAGGGAGCCAGCGAACAGGACTGCAAATGGGGGAAGCAGTTTGCAGGAAGTTCACAGGCCAGTTCGTGGGTAGTAGCATAGCTTATTACCACACAATCGCTCTCGGTCATGGCAGACTCATCGTATCCACAGGCATCTTGGCATCACTGAGACCTTCACCCAGACACAGCCTGAGGCCCCAGACTGCAGGAGATGCCTGGTGTGGCTGCTGGCAACTGAGCATGGGGACACCCCACTTGTGGGGTGTGCTCCCTGGTGGAGTTTTTGGAGGGCCAGGTGCGGGAGCTCAAAGAGGAGATATGTCATCTATGCACCATCAAGGCCCATGAAGACTTCATTGATGGCTACTGGTGGCCAGTGTGATGGCTAACCAAGAAGACCCACCCAGAGCAACCTGGAAGACAATCACCTTATGCTCCAGGAAACCCAAGGCCAGGGTTGCTCCTTCCCTGGCCCTGCACAACAGGTACACTCCCCTCCCTACACATGAGGCGGCTCTGATGGTGACACCAAGAGAGAAGGAAGGTAAGCAGTCTGCTGCCACCATCAAGAGGAGGTGCAAGGTGGTGGTGGTGGGGGACTCCCTCCTGTGGGGCACTGAGGGACCCACCTGCCGTCCGGACCCCCTAGCCCATGAGGTCTGCTGCCTCCGAGGGGCTCACATCCGAGATGTAGCAGAGAGGATCCCCAGCCTTGTCCAGCCTTCTGACTACTACCCCATACTCCTCATCCATGTGGGAACTAATGACATGGCCAGGAGTCATCCATACCGGGTCATGAGCGACTACAGGGCTCTGGGGGCTGGGCTCAAGGGATTGGGAGCCCAGGTAGTCTTTTCTTCTGTGCTCCGTTGCAGGCTGCGGTCCCAGAAGAGAAGGATGCATTGAGAAAGTGAACCGGCAACTCCGATGCTGGTGCCACCGAGAAAGCTTTGGATTCCTTGACCACGGCGCACACTTCAGGGAGAGAGGACTCCTGGGAAGGGGTGGCATCCACCTCGCGAGGAAGGTAAGTCCCTGTTCGTGGCCAAGATGACCGATCTTTTGGACAGGGCTTTAAATTAAGATTGGTGGGGGACAGGGATACACAAATTCAAACATGCCCAGGGACCAACATACAAGTAAGCCCAGTAGATAGGGACACTGGGAGAGTCACTCTTGTGGGAGCTGAGGGAATAGTTCTCCATCAGCAGGACAGGAAGACAAGGGCATCAGAAGCAGGACTCAGGTGCCTATATACTAATGCCAGGAGCATGGGGAACAAGCAGGAGGAGCTAGCCCTCCTACTCTCTAGTGTGCATTATGATCTAGTAGGGATTACAGAGACCTGATGGGACTCCAAACATGACTGGAGTGTAGCTATAGTGGGCTAACACCCTGCATAGGAGGGACCAGGTGGGAAAAAAGGTGGAGGCATTGTTCTTTATGTGAAAGAGCAGTACACCTCCTTGGACGCCAACATAGGCTCCAAAAATGAACAGCTTGAAACCCTCTGGGTCAAGTTGTGGGGGGGAGTAGGAGTGAGACAGACCCAACTGTGGGTTTATACTACAGACCACCAAACCAGGGGGAGGCACTCAATCTGGAGGTCGCCCGAGACTTGACTGAGGCTGCACATGCACATGACATGGTCATCATGGGCGATTTTAATTATCCAGACATATCCTGGGAGGAACACTTGGCCAAGCTGGAACAGTTGTGATCCTTCCTGACCTGTGTCAAGCAGCAGTTCCTGAGTCAGGAGGTGCATGGGCCAACCAGATGTGATGTTCTGCTAGACTTGGTCCTGGCCAAAGGAGACAACCTGGTGACCAACTTCAATATAGAGGGAAATCTGGGAGACAGCGATCATCAAACCATCCTGTTTACTGTCTGGTGTAAGGCAGACAAATCGGATAGTAGGATTGAAGTCTTGGACTTCAAAAATACAAACTTCAACAAGCTTAGGTCACTAGTAGGGCAAGTGCTATGGGACTAGGGACCAAAGGCGAAAGGTGTGCACAAAGATTAATTGTTCCTTAAGGACACGATCCTTGAAGCACAAAGGAAGTCCATTCCCATGAGGAGAAAAGGTAACAAAAGAGCTGGGAAGCCCTCTTGGTTAAACAGGGAAATCATGGTCCTCATAAGAAAGAGGGATATAAACAATGGAAGTTCAGGGTGGGCTCCAAGGAGGACTATTCCACGACGGCCCGCATTTTCAGGGAACAGATAAGAAAGACTAAAGTGGCGACCAAATTTAGATTAGCAACAGGAGTCAAGGACAAGTCCTTCTTTAGGTACATAGGGAACAGAAGGAAAACAAATGGGAGTGTGGAGCCATTGCTCAACTACTCAGGAGAGCTGGTTACCGGCAGCCAGGAGAAAGCTGAACTCCTGAATGACCACTTTGCCTTGGTCTTTCACCGGTCCAAAGGGAAAACCACGCCAGGTAGAGTAGAGGATGAACACGGTAGAAATAATTGCCTTCCTACTATTGCTGTAGAATTGGTCCCGCAGGGGACGGTGCTCAGTTCAGTACTTGGTCCAGTACTTTTCATTATCGGTCCAGTACTTTTCATTATCTAATCTTTATTAACGATTTGGGTGTGGGGTGAAGCACTCACTGGCCAAGATTGTGGATGACACCAAGTTATGGGGGAGCTTGAAGATGGGCTACAGTTACAGGTGGACCTAGACAGGTTAGCAAGTTGGGCAGATCAGAAACTGATGAAGTTCAACGTTGAGACATGTAAAGTGCTCCACCTTGGGACGAGTAACCCCCAACACACCTACAGGCTTGGCGGTACCAAACTGACTAGCACCACAAATGAAAGGGATCTGGGGGCAATAGACCTAATGCCTAGCAGCCCACGGAGCAGGGACCTCTGGCACATGGTGGAGTCCCCCAATAGGTTGTGGGGGGCTGGGTCCTCTTTCTTGCCGTCTGCACGGCTCCCGCTCTCCACCATCACAGCCTACACACCCCATGTCCGCTATGAATAAGACAAGCAGAAATTGGCTTGACTTGCAGCAAAGGAGACTTAGGTTAGATATTACTAAAGCACAATAATGGTTATGAAATCTCCTTCAGTGGATGTTTATAAGAACAAATGAGACAAATGTGTGTTTGGGATGGTTTAGTCAGGGGTGGGCAAAACACGGTCTGCGGGATGTATGTGGCCCGTCAGGCCATTCTATCCGGCCCACAGGGCCCCTAAAAAATTTAGAAAAGTAATATTAATCTGTCCCAGCTGCCTGTCATGCAGCCCTTGATGGTTTGACAAAATTCAGTAAGTGGCCTTCCGCCCAAAATAACTGCCCACCCCGGTTTAGATTATGGTATACTTGATCCTGCCTCTGAGCAGAAAAGGGGGGAGGGAGACAGATGGAATAAATGACCTCTTGAGGTTCTGTTCATGTCTATGATTTCATCCAAATTGTCCCACCAGCTCCCATAAAGGGTTCATACAGATGTTAAATAGAGAGAGAACTGGGCCTTGAAGGACTAAGTTGATGCTCCAGAGGCAAAGAAACAGTTGATCACCTAGTTTAGTTTGAAAAGGACCTGAGGCCACTTAAGGGCTTTCCAATCACCCCCATGTTATCCTGGAAGATGGAAAAAGATATCTGATGATTAATACTACTGAATGTTTTACAGAAACCCAGATAAACTTGAGTAAAGGAGCACATCTGTGGGGGGCCAGCAGGGGAGATCATGCTCAGGGGCAATCAGCATGGGTTCAAAGGCAGGTCCTGCCTGACCAACCTGATTGCCTTTTATGACCAAGTAACTAAATCCTTGGATGATGGTGTCGCCATGGACGTAGTCTTTCTAGACTTTAAGAAGGCCTTTGACACTGTCTCTCACCCCATCCTCATCAATAAATTAAGCGACTATGGCATTGATGTCTGCACAGTTGGATGGGTAAAAAATTAGCTCATGGGGCACACCCAGAGAGTAGTGGTGGACGGGTTGTACTCAACCTGGCAAGATGTGAGCAGTGGGATACCCCAGGGCTAAGTCCTTGGGCCCGCACTGTTTAACATCTTCATCAGTGACTTGGACGAGGGGGTGGAAAGCACGCTGTCCAAGTTTGCTGATGACACTAAGATGTGGGGCGAGGTGGACACACTTGAAGGGAGAGAGAGGCTGCAACTAGATTTAGACAGACTACAAAAGTGGGCAGATGAGAATAGGATGGGGTTCAATGTAGAGAAATGCAGGGTGCTGCACCTTGGGAGAAGGAATCCACAGCATACATACAGGCTGGGGAGTTCCCCTCTTGAAAGCACAGAGGCGGAACGGGATCTTGGAGTCAGTATTGACTCCAAGATGAACATGAGCTGCCAATGCCAGACCACAGTCAGCAAGGCCAGCCATACCTTGTCATGCATCCAAAGGTGCATCTCAAGTCGGTCCAGAGAGGTGATCCTCCCCCTCTACGCGACATTGGTCCAGCCACAATTGGAGTACTGTGTCCAGTTCTGGGCACCGCACTTCAGGAGGGATGTGGCCAGCCTGGAGAGGGTTCAGAGGAGGGCCACCCACTTGGTGAGAGGGCAGCAGGACAGGCC